AGGAAAATCTCAGTGGTGGAGGATTCAGAGCTGCAGACGTGGCCAGGATGGGGGGCCCTGCACTGGCGTTTAGGTCACTGCCTGCTTCGCCTTTGCTGGAGAGACAAGTGCAGCTCCCTCTTCTCTCGCCCAAAGACAGCAGCGGGATTTGGTGGGCATGGGGACATTTCCTTCCTCCCAGCCCAAGGAYGGGGCACCAAAGCACCCGGGGGTTGTCAGGGCCCCTCCAGGCTGCRAAGACAGGATCCATGGGAGCAGAGGCACCCCGAGGAGCAGGAAGGCCTGGGAGGAGGCACCGCGTCCACCTCAGTGCTTCCACGGACGCACATGGAAAAGGAGCCACTGGCCCGGCGGGCTCCCGGACACCCTTCCAGGTAAGATGGGTTTCCAAGCGAAAAGCAGGTCCCGTCTTCCTCCTCTTGTCCCATGGGTGCCAAGCGGGCTCCCGCAGCCCCCGGCCGAGCCTGTCGCCGAGCAAGGCTGACGTCAGGCGGCAGGAAGCGGCTCCTGGCCTTTCCCAGGCTCCGCGCRCCGCTTCCCTGCCAGTTTATCGGCCGCTGGAGCAAGACCAAGGGAACATCGGCCAGGACAGAACAAATAAACATCCGAGTTTGGGCTTCCTTCCTTCCTTCGAATAACTCCCCACAACACGGGGGAGGGGAATTATTAAAAAAAAAATGCAATGAGGAAAATAAATAAGCACTGGGGTTTCCATGGGGATGCGATACACGCTTGGGAGTGGGAATTTGGCCTCGGGGAGAAGCTGTGGAGCAGCAGAGCCCCATGCTGGGAGAGGAGCCCCGAGGGCCTCCAGTCAACACTGCGGCCAGACCACCCTGGGCCGGTTGGATAGCCCGGGGGGACTGGGCTCCTGCCCTTCCCTGGATTTGCCGGCCCGCGGATCAGGAGCGGCGCAGGGGCTGCCGGCCGCAGGAATGTCGCTGCACCTGGGATTTCGCTGCAGGTTTAGCCCCAGCTAAAACCTCTTAGCTTTCGCACCCAGGCTGCGTGCTGTGCGTTTGCCTGGCGGGCCCCTCCAACCCACCGACCAACGCCACCGGCTCTCACGGCAAGTTTAATACATCCCACGGAAAGAGGGAGCGCAGAGGAGCGAGGGCGGCTCAGCACCTTTAATGAGACACCAGCAAATCCACCTGGATTTTAAAACACACGGCCGCGTCTCCCTGGTTCTCCTGCTTTATTTAGAGGGGGAATCTAAGCGGGCAGCGGGTGTTTGGCTCTTGTTTTTCCAGCTGCTGTGGTGTTGCTCTGCRGACAGGTTAGGGAGCTCCCTAGGAGGACCGGAGCTCCAGGAGCTCCAGGCCACAGGCCGTGCGCGTGGCGCCGGGCGGAACCGGGCCGAGCCGGGCCGGGCGGTGACACCGGGGCCGCGCTGGCCGCCCCCGAACCGCCGCCCCGCCCCGCCGCACCGGCTCGGCACTCCCGTTGTGCRGAGCCCTTCCAGGGCCGCGTCCCGCCCGCTCCGCCCTCCGCCGTTCCCGCTGCTCGTGGAAGCCGCGGCGCCTCCCGCGCGCCGTGGGCCCCGAGGATCCCGCCTTCCGAGGGGCGGGGACACCCGCACGGGGGCAGCGGAGCGGAGCGGGGCGCGCGGCTCCCCCGGGAGCGCCTGGGCCCGCGGCCCGGCCCGCCCGCCGCGCTCGGGGCAACCGCGCCGCGGCGCAGACGGAAGCGCCGCTCTCCGCTCCCAGCCACTTCCGCTTCTCTATGGTAGGGGCCTCTCTAGGCGGCGCTACCGGTGGACGCCTCTTTCGGCCGCGCTCCCGCTCGCCCCGCCCTCAGGCCACGCTGCAGC